GTGTAGTCTCTTAGGAGACAGCGTTGTGTGTGTGTGCTGGGAATCTTCAATCAGACGTTTACTCTGCTCGCAATGCTCCCCTTTCATACCATTTTTCTCACCTTTTTTATTAAGGGAAACCAAGCGCAGCTGTGAATTGCCAGAGCCAGGCGATCTTTCAAAGGTGAGTTTGCCTTTCAGACTGACACCGCAGCAGAGACAGCCTCGCTTCCCCCTCCAACGTTCCCTCCGAATGTCATTTTATTGTATGCAAGTGTCGTGCGATGATAATAGTAATAATAATAATCCTTTATAACAACCCAGGCCCTATCCCTCGCGAGGCGAGCGCTCTCACCAGTGCACGACCAGCCTCCAGCCACTACATTCCAAAACTTTAGCCCTCCATCCCTCCGCCTCGCCCCCCTCCTTCCTAGTTTTCAGATCACTTTCCTGTTCGCCCGTGCTTACGGTCACCTCCTGTCCGGCTCGGGGTCGTGCCGTTAAGTGCTCCGAGACCCTGGCCGGGGTGTAGGGCGCTGTGTAAGTGCAATTTGTTGTGGCTATTGACTGCAGCACAGATGGAGGCCGTTCGATTCATCTCCCCTCACCGGCTCTTCTAACTCCAATTCCCCGCTCGGTCCCTGGAAGCTTTTTATAGAATTCTCAGAAAATTGGCTTCCTGATTTCCTTTTGCATATTTCATGCCTTTTCAGCAACCAGGCAAGAGAGTCACGCAACGAAAGCCACGTGGCCAGCTCTGTGCACGACAAGTGTCCTTTGTTTCTGTGTCCCGTGCTCACTCAACATCTGCTGTACTGTGTACAAACCAGGTACGCCCTGACCTGTATTGCCAGCCGTGGTCCTGTGCGCTGTGTGTTTCTATCTCACCCTATGTCCTCCCTCCGTCGCGATAAACGAAAGGAGTCGAAACGGATCTAGCACCTAACAAGAATAATAATAATAATAATAATAATGCTTGCACTTGACACAGCGCCTTATCACGACTTGGAGACGTCGCAAAGCGCTTCACAGGATACGCTGCAAAATGAATTGACTGCGTGTATTGCGGGCGAAACGCGGCAGCCGATTGCGCACAGCAGCGTCCCCCACAAACAGTCGGGGATTGAGCGACCGAATTAGTTTTTTTAAGGGATCGTCACCCCCGGAAAAACGATCCGCAAATGGACTAGCCACCGGGTTCCTATTTATTGCTGGGTAAACAGAGCCGTGTGGAGTAAAGAGAGTTGCCCAACGTTTCGCCCTGCCCGGGAATCGAACCCACTGAGCCAAGTGGGGTGGGTGGGGAGGGGTGGGGGGGGTGGGAACGTCTTTCCCAAGTTGTCCTGCACTCGATTCCCTCCCACCAATCACCACCACCCCCACCCCCCACCCCCACCCCACACCCCCTCCGACTCGAACTCACTACGTTCCCGCTGAATTCAAACCTGTTTCCAGTTTTTTCAGCGTCGACTTCTGGTGCCTCTCCTGACAGTCGCCCGTCACTGCCTCTCATTAATTCTTAATCCCATTATCCTTCCTTCCCTAATCACTGTCCCTCACCACGAGGTCCAAATCGAGTTCCACATCATTCAGTGTTAATGAGTTGCTGTCTTCCACACACGCCCGTGTGCTGAACCAACCCAGCAAACGTTTCTGGGGTGACGGTATCTCTCTTTCGTGGGAAATTGTCGCTAACCGACTCTTCGGGTCGGGTGACTCCTCAGCTCATTCAGCGTGTCGGAAAAATAGTCCTTGCATTTGACTGCGCCGTTTCACGTCGGGAGGACGTCTCAAAGTGCTTCACAGGCTTCACTGTAAAGTAATAACAGTAAAATAACAATCCTGGCATTCACGATGTTGAGACCTCTCAAAGCGCCTCACAGCACACGCTGTAAAGTGTATGAATCGGCCGTGTTTTTGTGGATGAAACGCGGCAGCCAATTGCTCACAGCAGCGTCTTACAAACTGTCGTGGATTGAGTGACCAAATTATCATTATTTTTGAAGGGATTATTACCCCCAGGAAAGCGATCCACCAATCGACTAACAACCGGGTTATTACTTACTGCTGGTAAACAGAGGCGTGTGGAGTCAGGAAACTTGCCTAAGGTCTTGTCCTGCCCAAGACTCAAACCCGGGTCCTCTCGCTTGCGAGGCGAGGGCTCTAACCACTGAGCTACAGGACTCCATGTTCACGTGGGAGTGGGAGACGGACACATGAGGATCTCATCTGCGGTGTCTGATCAGGCAGCGCTCGATGCCCACACATCACAGCACCACAGAGGAGGAAAACAAGTTTTAATGCCGCTTGTGATAATGTTGGGGATAAAGGGACATAATGTCCGTTTGAGAAAAACATGTAACAATGGAATTCAATTTTACAAATTTAAAAAGCTTTTCTCCCTGAGCCTGAGGCCGTATTTGCATTAAAATTCATGTGATTCACACTCGGGCTGATTCTACACCGATATCCTTGAGGTGTGTGTGCACTGTTCTTGTCAGACGTTAAAAGTTCTCCCACAGTATATCCCGTGGAGCACTTTGAGACCTCTCCGCAGCATGAAAGGTGCAGTACCAAATGCAAGGATTATTATTGTTTTGATTAATTGCGGCAACATTCATATTAAATGTAATTGCTGTAATTGCCTTTATTCCCAGTCAGGGCGGAACTGGTTGGGCCAAATTTCCTTACTCCACCCGCCTCTGTTTATTCAGTAGTAAGGTGGCACCTGGTTGTTAGTCGATTGGCCGTATTCCGGTGGTAAAAATACGTTCACAAAAAAAAATAATAATTTGGTCGCTCCATGTTTGTGGGGGACGCCGCTGTGCGCAATTGGCTGCCGCGTTTCGCCCACACAATATACAGTCAATTCATTTTACACGACATCCCGTGAAGCGCTGTGAGACGTCTCGAAGACGTGATGAGGCACTGTGCCAAAGGCCAGCGTTATTGTTGTCGCTGTTGTTCTTTTCGCTGCAGATTTATGAGCATCGGTACTTACAGTGCCGTGCCAAGTTTTGCAAAGTTATCATCCTGTTGGCCTGGCAACCAGGTTAGTGGCGTTAAATCGGCAAAGACTGAAATTGAGATTCTTGACTGTAACAATAGGGCAGGAGTGGCTGGGAATGGGAATGGGAATTAAGTCACTTCAGCAAGTAAATATTCTATTTATAAATCATTTATTCAGTGCTGCGCTTTGATCATTCACTTCGATGCTCTCGCTGTCTCTCACTCTCTCTCTCTCTCTCTCTATCTCGTTCACTCACGCTCTCATTCTGCGTCTCTCATCTGTCTGTCTCTCACTCTATTGCTCTCTCTCTCTCACTCACACACACACACACACACACACCGTCTCTCTTTTTATGAATAATAATCCTTCTATTTGATATAGTGGCTTTTTAAAGTCAAATGGATGTCCGCCTCACAAAGTGTTTCACAGGATTCACTCTCCATCGCTCTCACTCTGTCTCTCCCTCATCGTCTTTCTCTCTCACTCTCACTCTCTCTCACACTCACTGTGTGTCACTTTCCGTCTCTGTCACTATCTGCCTATCACACTCTGCTTTTCTCTGTATCTTTCTCTCCGTCTCTCTCTCTCCCTATCTCTCTCTCACTCTCACTGGTCGTGTGTGTCACTCTTTCTGTCTCTCTCGCTCTGTCTCTCACTTTGTCGCTCTCTTTTCCTGTGTATGAAGCGCTTTGGGACGTCAAGAAGACGTGGAAAGCGCTATATCGAATCCAAGGATTATTATTATTATTATGTCTCTACTTCTCTCTGTCTCTCTCACTCTCTCTCTGTCTCTCTCGCTCTCTCTTCGTCTCTCTCATCACATTCTACCCTTCCTCTGGTCCCCCCGCCCTCCATCAGTAAGTCCCAAACCGTCCGGATGATATCTGAAAATAAAACGAGCGAGAATGCTCACCTCACATCCACACAGAGAGTGTTAGCCACGATTATTCCGGAGAGAAAAGAGAGAAACAAAATATAAAAATAGATCCAAACGTACGAAATAAAAAGTGTATAAAATAAACAATAAGGAGTGAGTGGAGAGAGGGAGGGAGGGGTGGGGGGTGGGAGATGGAGAGTTATTTTAAAATCAGCAGGGAGCTCAGAGAGGGTTTAACCTGTCTCTGTGTGTGTGTGATTGTTTTTTTTGGTGGGGGGGCGGCTGCAGGTTATTGAGTGGGTGTGTTTTTAATGGTGTTTGTGTGTGTTTGGGAGTGTGTGTTGGGGGAGGGAGGGGAGGGGGGATTATTGGTGTGTGTGTGTGTGTGTATAAATGTACGTTTCGCCCACAAAATATACAGTCAATTCACTTGATATTCTGTGAAGCTCTTTGAGACGTCTTGAAGATGTGATGAGGCTCTGTATCAAATGTATTGAGTATTATTACTATTATTATTATTATTATTATTATTCTGTATAGGTATATAGATGCATGGTTTGGGCTCAGCGGAGTTGGAGACGGGGGTTAGTTTAAGCTGAAGCTTTCTGCAGAAATAGATGCATTTGCACAACACGTTCAGAACAGCATTAGTTAGATCTTTGCAGCCACGTGAGTTGGAGCCCTTTAATAGGAAACCCAAGGCAGCCAAGGGGAAGGCTAGCCAGCCAGTCAGTCAGTCAGTCAGCCAGTCAGTCAGCCAGTCAGTCAGTCAGTCAGTCAGTCAGTCAGTCAGCCAGCCAGTCAGCCAGTCAGTCAGTCAGTCAGTCAGTCAGTCAGTCACGGTTGATGACAAAGAGAGATACAGACACACACACGCGCACACACACAGCGTGTGTGCCTCTCTCCTCTCCGTGCTCAGGCAGAGTAACCGAGAGAGATCAACGGCTGAGGGAAAGTTCGAACAAAGCGGATGAGAAGCAGATCACGGAGGCACACGGGCAGACAGAGAAAACTGTGTGAAATTATCTTCTGGGGAACCAGCAAAGCGGGGAAGAAGGACTGAGCGTTGCGTGAGGTGTGAGCTCGAAGGCGCTGTGGGGTCTGCGATGGTGCTTTGATGTCCTGGGTCTGGCCATGACAAGCTCCCTGCTCTCCACTACCCTGGTAGTGCTCCTCGCTGGACAGGTGAGTCCCATGCAAAGAGTCTGCGTGTATTTGTAGGTTAAATCCCATTGTCCTAACCGCTGCCTGACCCGCTCACTCCCCAACCCACCGCCCGCTGCCTCCGCTCGACTGGCTCCAGCCTCCTGCTCATCCCTCGCCTCCTCCGTTCCACCATTGGTGTCCGCGCTTTCAGCCATTACGCCCCGAAACTCTGGAAACACTGTCCCTCTGTCCCTCCGCCTCGCCCCTGCCTTCCCCGGCTTCAGATCACACCTGAGGACCTTCCTCTCCGACCGTGTTGAGGGTCACCTCGTCCCAACCCACCCCACCCCGCCCCGCCCACCCAACGTCAGGCTCCATCACTGTTAAGTGCTCCGTTAACTATTAACTGACCAGCTAAACCCACGACGTGGCTTTGCGTTGATAGATCAGCGGATTTCAGCACCAGAGTGAAATAAGTTGCACTCGTTCAGCACTTTTTAACAAGGATTCGTTTTATTGCTTTATTATTACTCTCATTACCCAAAGTGACGTCTGCAAATGCTTCGCAGGGATGAGAGAGTCACAAGGTTAAAGAATAATGATTGGTGCATTTCACACAGGGCTCTGTCACATTGTCAACACGTCTCAGGGTGATTTACAGTGAAGTGTAGTGACTGTGTGTTGTGTTAGACACTGAGCACGTTGCCTCTCTCTCCCCTGACGTCAATCTCGTTCCCCCGTACAGTCGATGCTGTGTGTTTTATCCCTTTTTTATTCTTCTTGAAAGAAAATCTCATTCGGGGGTGAGGCGGGTGTGGGGGGGGGGGAGGGGGGGGTCTAGTTTGCGCTATTTTTTAATAGATTTCTTAATAAGGAAACATGACTGTTTCGCCGACAGTGTCTGTCTGCGCTTCATGAAGGATCTCAATAACCGATTGACGTGGAGACATGATTTATACTCGTCGGAAAAGGTCGTGCGTCTGGGAGTGACGTGGGCATATTTGTTTTCGGGTCACTCCCTTCGTTCACAAGTTATTTTCACTTTTGCGTTTTTCGCTGCTCCTGGTGGCCGGGCCGGCTGACCGTGGCGCTGTGGCTTTGTGTGTCACATAGTGCGCTCGTAGCCAAGCGGCGGGAACAAAATAAAGAACACAGACGAAGCTAAGCCGTGGCAACAACAACAAAATTACATTTTTAAAGCACTGAGTCCTCCCGCTGCGTCCGCCCACTGCGTCCTCCCACTGGGTCCGCCCACTGCGTCCTCCCAAAAGAAATCCTCAAACATGAGTATAGATAAGGATGAGCTGTCTGTCTGTGTTCCTGTCTCCGTTCCATTGTGGATCCTCTGGATCCAAGTGAAGCTGCGATGGGAACAGCTCCGATGATGCACATCTTGCAAGTTAGAACCTGAATGCGTTAAGTGTTAACACCCGTTGCCAGACTGAAGGGTGTTTAATAAGGCCCCAGCGATGGCGTTTCAGTTCCCCGGGGCTTGTGGTAACATTGCATCCCACCCCGACTCCACCTCCGCCCTCCCCACTCCCCCAACCCCCCCACCGACTTCCCCCCCAACATAACGTGCCTTTATGTAACGCTCTGTAACCGTGCTCATCCTTTGCCCAGGTGATGCCGATCCATCCAGAATGTTCCATCTTCCAGAAACTCCATGATGACGAGGTGAGGTGCCTGCGGAACGTGAGGAACGAGAGCCTCAGCTCAGGTACTCTTCCCACCTCATCAAAGAACTTCCCCCCGCCCCCACCCCTCCACCCACCTTCCACCCCCTCTCCCCACCACTCACCTTCCCCCCTTTCCCTTGCCCTACCCCCGATCAAACACCCCAATCAGACCTTCCCCCACCACACACGCACACACATGTCTATTTCACGGCTGTTTTCGGGACCTCACTGGATGCAGATTAATTGTCTCGTTCGCGTCACGCAGTCACTACACACTTTACAGAGGAAACCCCCGAGAAGCGCATTAAGACATCCTCCCAACCGGGCAAGACGCTGCATCAAATGGAAAGATTATTATCACAAATAAACAGTCACTACACTTGACAGCAATTGCCTGGGAAGCGCTTTGTTATCATTATTATTATTATTATTTTATCGTGATTTATCCCCACGAGCTGGAAGCGCTGTGTGTGTTGCCTGCAGGGTGTCCCAGCCTGTGGGACGGGCTGAGTTGCTGGCCGGAGGGAACGGTCAACGAAACGGTCAGCGGGCAATGCCCGGAATTCCTCCAGCTGTTCGGGAAGCAGCAAGGTAGGAGCTCGGAGCTGGCGTCGCGTGGTGGGTGGGGGGGGGGGGGTTGGAACGTTGCAGGCGGTGAGGGGGTCACCCAACAACAACAACAACATTACACTTATACAGCGCCTTTCACGTCGGGAGGACCTCCCAAGGCGCTGGGGTGGAGGGTGTGTGCGTGTGACATGCAAATCCCACACTGCCCAACATCTTGGGACGTCCTCTTGTTGTGAAAGGCGCTACACAAATGTAATTTGTTGTTGTTGTGTGTGTGTGTGTGTGTGTGTGTTGTGTGTGTGTTATTTTGTGTGTATAGTCGTGAGTGTGCGCATATGAGTGTGTGTGCATCTAGTTGTGTGCGTGTGTGTTTAGGTGTGTATATGTTATTGTGTGTGTACAGGTGTGTGCGTGTGCGCGCATGTGAGTGTGTGTGTATCTAGCTGTGTGTGTGTTTAGGCGTGTGTGTATGTTATTGTGTGTGTATAGGTGTGCGTGTGTGCGCATGTGAGTGTGTGCACCTAGTTGTGTGCGTGTGTGTGTTTAGGTGTGTATATGTTATTGTGTGTATAGGTGTGTGTGTGTGCGCATGTGAGTGTGTGTGCATCTAGTTGTGTGCGTGTGTGTTTAGGTGTGTATATGTTATTGTGTGTGTACAGGTGTGTGCGTGTGCGCGCATGTGTGTGTGTGTGTGTTTAGGCGTGTGTGTATGTTATTGTGTGTGTATAGGTGTGCGTGTGTGCGCATGTGAGTGTGTGTGCACCTAGTTGTGTGTGTGTGTGTGTTTAGGTGTGTATATGTTATTGTGTGCGTAGGGGTGAGTGTGCGCATGTGAGTGTGTGTGTATCTAGTTGTGTGTGTGTGTGTGTAGGTGTGTGTAGGGGAGGGAGTGCTGGGGGTGTGTGGACACTGTCCCCTGGTTTATAATGCCAGACACTCACTGGGGACGCATTTTTTTTATTGCCGTTGTGGACTGCATGTAAATTGCTGTTCACTCGGGACAACTGTCAGTCAATGTTTACATCTTCATTTACGTGCGCCCATTAACCCCCTCCAGTCCTCTCCCCCCCAACACACACGCACACAGCCGCACACAGACACGGGCACACAGACACACACCAACACGCGCGCACCCACACACACACACACACAAACACAGACACACACAGACATTTACGCGCACGTACACGCGCACACGCACACACACACACACACACGGAGACATTTACCCACAGACGTACGCACACACACGCACAACCACAGTAAGATCGAGGCTGACTGATCAGAGATGAAGGGGTGGGGATTGCTGGCGGCTGAGGTGCTTTGTGGTGCTTTGCCGTTGAGACTCCTCGCAGCTGTTCAATACAAGGAATCTGCACGTTCCCATCTACTTTACAGCCAATTACACCCCGAGACAAACGGAGCTCTCGCACTCCACGTCGCCCGCGCGCTCACAGGTTACGATGCTGCTTCTTGCGTTCGGTAATTGAGTCTGAAAATTAATCAGTAGCTTAATATGCTGCCGCATGTTAATGAGAGCTCGCGGTGCGCCGGGACTGTGAGAGGCCTCGAGACGGGAGATCAGAGGGACAAACACAACTCCATCCAGGTGGACAGCGCAGCCTGAGCCAGACACCCTCCTGGGTCTCAGCCCGCCTCATCTCACCGGCTGCCTCTCTCTCCCTCCCTCCCTCCCTCTCCCTCTCTCTCTCTCTCTCTCTCTGTCTTTCCCCGCTTCCTGGTGGGAAAGTTTGTGGGTTCGAGCCCCGCGTTGGCAGCTTTAAGCTCGCACCTGTCGCTCGCTCTATCGCAAGTACTCAGAGGTTTCGCCCGCAAAAAATATGCGGTCAGTTCACTTTGGGGTACGTTCTGCGAAGCGCTTTGAGACGTCTCGAAGACGTGATACGGCGCTGGATCAAATGCCAGGATTATTGTGATTTATTGTGCGCAATTGGCTGCCATGTTTTGCCCACAAAATATACGCCAACAACAAGGAGTGAGTTTCTCCTCGTGTCCCTGGCCGTCATTCCATGGCATCGGATAAATTGGCCGTTCATCTGGTGGCTGCTTGCGGGACGTTGCTGTGCGTAAATTGGCTGCGGCAGCTACACAGTCACTACACAGCCGACGAATTGCTGTGTCGTGTTGTTGCTTTCAGTCGAGATTCAGAGGAACTGCACAGCTCTCGGCTGGAGTGACCCAGTCCCCCCTTACCATGTGGCCTGTCACATCGAGGACCTCGGGGAGATTCCCCAATCCCAGGTGAGTGTGAGACCCGGCGGCCAGGCTCCCCCACTCTATACCCCCCGCCCCGGACTTCAACCGATTCCCGTTTTCCCAGGTTTGTCTCCTCTGTTCCTCCCTCTGACTCGATGGGAGGGGATGGGAGGGGAGGGGATGGGATGGGCGAGAATGGGATGGAAGGGGATGGGAGGGGCGAGAATGGGATGGGAGGGTATGGGATGGGAGGGGAGAGGATGGGAGGAGATGGGATGGGATTGTAGGGTTGTTTCCTCAGTTTTCCTGCCACTTGTAAACATTCTCACGTTTGGGGAGACCCTGTCAGTTCCCCCCAACACCACCAACCAACAACAACCATTCCCAAACTCTCGCTCTTGTTCTCATCCCCTCGCTCTCGGTTGCGTTCTCTCTCTGCCTCTCTCTGGATTAAACTCTTGCGATAGAAGCCACGGTAAACGGCAGAGTGAGGGGTGGGAGGGGAGTGTGGGGAGGGAGGGAGTGAGGGGAGCGCGTGGAGGGGTGGGCGGTGGAGTTAGGGAGAGTGAGCAGGGGACCAGGCCCCACTAACTCTTGTCTCTGCCCTGTAGAGTCAGTACCTGGCTACGCTGAAGGTTCTCTACACCACAGGCCATGTCGTCTCACTCATCGCTCTCATTACCGCCATCAGCATCTTCTGTCTCTTCAGGTACAGCCTCTCAGCCTCCACACGGCTCCGGCATCGCCTTCACGTCGCATCTAATCATTGCAACTCCAGCTGTAACTTTGTGTAAAGATAAAACTGGCTGCAACAGAGAAAAGCTCATGTATGCACTCCAACAAGGAGCCCTCCCAACAGGAGCCCTTCCAACAGGAGCCCTCCCAACAGGAGCCCTCCCAACAGGAGCCCTTCCAACAGGAGCCCTCCCAACAGGAGCCCTCCCACCGAGTATAGATAAAGACAGAATGTCTGTCTGTGTGTCAATTTATATTCCATATTGGATCCTTTGGTTGCAAGCGAAGCTGCAGTGGGTAACAGCTAATATATCTATATATATATAAACTTAGGCAAGTTTCCTTGGTCCACACGCCTCTGTTTACACAGCAGTGAGTAGGAACCAGTTGTAATTCTCCCTTTTCCCTGTGACGTTCCCATGTTTTGCAGGAAGCTGCACTGCACCAGGAACTACATCCACATCCACCTCTTCACCTCCTTCGTCCTTCGCGTCACCAGCATCTTCATCAAGGACGTGGTGCTCTTTGCCGACGAGGACATTAACCACTGCACCATCTCCACGGTGAGAACTTCCCCTCCTGCCCTGGCCAGGAGACCGCTGTGTGGGGGTGGGGATGTGGGGAAGGGGGGGTGCGGTGGTGGTGGAGGGTTCCCTGGGCTATACCGTATGGACAGGGGGATCTCTTTAACCCTTGTCCTCTCTCAGGTGACCTGCAAGTGGGCAGTCAGCCTGTCGCAGTTCTGTGTGTTGGCTAACTTCTCCTGGCTGCTGGTGGAGGGTTTGTACCTGCAGACGCTGCTGGCGTTGACGTTCGTCTCCGACAGGAGATATTTCTGGTGGTTCATCGGCATCGGCTGGGGTCAGTTCCTCTCTCTCCCCCCCTCTCCCCCTCGCTCTCTCTCTCTCTCCCTCGCTCTCCATCCAGGCAGATTATTGTACGTTTGGTTTGGTATCACCCCCTGATCCGCCGTATGTGGTTATTTCTCAGGGTTCCCGTCCGTCACCGTCACCGTGTGGATCGCGGTGAAGCTGCAGTTTGACAACCAGGGGTTTGTACAGCCTCGTCCTGTTCCCCCCCCAACCCTCCGCCCCCCACCATCCTCCGGCCGCCACCCCCTCCCCCCCCCGTATTTGTACCCAAACTCGACCTTAAGTAGATCACCAGTGAGGCAATCGCTTCCCCCCCGCCCCACCCCACCCCCCCCCCCACCTCGGGTCAGTGTCACACCCACTCGTGTCAGTGCAATGACCCCTCCCCCACCCCTCCCCCCACCCCAAGTGCCAGAATATCCGCCTCTCCTCACCTCCGCTCTCACACTCACCTCTTCCAGGTGCTGGGATAACTACGACAACGCTTATCGTTGGGTGATCAAGGCTTCGATCCTGGTCACCATCTTTGTGAGTGAATCCTCGCTCTCGGGGGAGGGTGTTGGGTGGGGGGGGCTGGGTGGGGGGGGTCTGTTGGGTGGGATGGGGGTGTTGGGTGGGTGGAGGGGTATTGGGTGGGAATCTAACCTCACGCGGTCTCTCTGCCCAAAGGTGACCTTCCTGATCTTCCTGAACGTCATCAGGATTCTGATCCACAAGATTTGCTCCGGACGTCTGGGAGGTGTGGACAGACAGCAGTGTTTGTGAGTCCGCGCCGCCAAAAAAAAAAGAGTCAGCGCAGCCCGACAGCGCGGCCTCGCCTGCACTTTCTCGCCTCCGCCTTCTCACGCGCCTCGAAGCGCTTCTGGGGATTCCGACGGCGCAGTGTAGTGACTGTGCGTGGCGTGCTGTTCTCTTTTTTTTTGTCTCCGGCAGGCGACTGGCCAAGTCCACGCTGCTGCTGATCCCGCTGTTCGGGGTCCACTACGTGGTCTTCGCCCTCGTCCCCGAGCGGGTGGGCCTCCACGCCAGGCTCTGCTTCGAGCTGGTGCTCGGCTCGCTGCAGGTGGGCCAGGCTTCCCGGACCCCCCCCGGGCCGCAAGCAGCGTGTGAGTGAGTGAGTGTGTGAGTGTGTGAGTGAGTGAGTGAGTGAGTGAGTGACTGAGTGACTTAGTGAGTGACTGAGTGACTGAGTGACTGAGTGACTGAGTGACTGAGTGAATGAACTTTTAAAAGGGTTTCTCTTTTCCAGGGTTTTATCATCGCTCTCCTTTACTGCTTCTTAAACTCAGAGGTGAGGAGAGGCTATAGAGTGGCGGGGGGGCAAGTGGGGGTGGGGGGAGAGGGGGGTGGTGGTGTGGGATGGGGGGGGGGGAGAGGGTATTCCCGGGGGAGAGGGAGAGAGCTGTAAAATCCTGGAGTTTAAAATCCTCGTCCTCACCTCCGAGGGCTTTGCTCCACCTGCCTCGACCTGTCCACTCTCTCCGCTCAGCAGCCCCTGGGGTCTCCGGCCCCACCCTCCGGAACTCCGGGCTCAGAGCCCCCCACCCCACCCCCGGCCTCGCCCTCACCCTCCCACTCCCCCTCGCCTCCTTCAAGAGCCTGTCTCATCATCTCCGGTCATACCCCCTGCCCCTCCCTCCCCACCCCGCTCATCGCCATTGCCCTCCACCCCTCTTGACTTCCAACCCCCAGCTCAGGTATGAACCCCACCCCACCAACACCCCCCCCACCCTTGACTATCCAGCGCCTTGTGACTATCCTCCCGACGTGAGAGACGTGGTGTCAATGTCAGTTGTTGGTGGTGTTGTTCCCAGGAGAGGAGGGGGGGGGGAGGGCGGGGCGGGGCGGGGCTCAGGGGCTGGGCGGGGTCAGACGGGAGCGGTCGCTGACCCGGTCTCCCTCCCAGGTTCAGGCTGAGCTGCGGAGACGCTGGTGCAAGCGGAAAACCTCCGGCGCGGAGAACAACGGCTTCAACCTGGTGACGCAGGATTTCACCGCGTGAGGAGACGGACACCGCGGACCGCGGAAAATTCCCCAAATCCAGGCTCCGCTAACTCTCCTTCTGCCCGGCCAGCAATCCCCTCCCCCCCCACATCCCTCTCTCCCCCCCCTCCCCCCCCCCCCCCCTTCCCCCGGGATAAATCTCAGACACTCGCTTCACGGCTGTTTCCCGGGAGGATGTTGCCACGATTGCCGACAAAACCCACTCGATAGTAAAAATAATAATAATAATAATAACAATAATGATCCTGGCATTTGATACGGCCCCTGACCAGGTCTCCGAGACGTCTCAAAGAGCTTCACAGGATACGCTGTAAAGCGAATCGGCTGAATATCTTGCGGGCGAAACGCGGCGGCCGATTGCGCCCACAAATAGCCGGGGATCGAGTGACCAGATCATTTTTTTTCTCTGAAGGGAATCAAGCCCCGGGTCCTCTCGCTTGCCAAGCGATGGCTCGAAACACTAACCCACAGGACTCCCCAAAAATCCTGTGAAGCGACTTGCGACGTCGTTCCGGCCCTGACGAGGCGCCGTATCGGATGTAAAGCGCTTTTATTATATTTTGCTGTGGGTAATCTCGGAAGCCCATGATTTTTCTTTCTTAAAGAAAAAAAAGGAAACGGCTTCCGAAACCGAGAGACTTCTCCGCCACTTCACGTCACCTTAAAAACCTTCCGACCGTCCTCGTGAGTTCGGCTTCTCCCGACAGCTCGTGTCGCCGTCGCTTTTGTTGCTGTTCACACCTTTGCTCCTCTGTCACTCACTCAGTCACGCTGGTTGTGCAAATGTTTGCACTGTTTTCCTCATGTTTCAGACTGCGCCGCACCCCAGCGAAGGCTTAAATCCAACCGGTCTAAACCCTGAGATCTCCAGAGAAGCCGCAGAGAAAACGGTTTGAAAGTTAAGGCTGAGTTTTAAGAGTTTGCCTGATTCCGCACCCGCTGAAACGCTGAGTAAATGGCGACGGGGACTCGGGGCTGTGTCCTGCCTGTCCTGCGCTGTGCGCGCTGTGTGTTCTGCGCTCGATGTCTGTGGTACATTTCGCCCACAAAATACACACTTTACAGTGAAGCGTTTTGAGACGTCTCAAAGAGGCGATGAGGCGCTGCATCGAATGCAAGGATTATTCTGACTCTGATTATTATTATTATTATACTCTGTGGTATATTCTGTGTGTTGTGCGTACTTTGTTCAGTGTTGCGTGTGGATGTGTGTTGCACGCTCTGTGCGTTGTACGCTGTGCGCGTGGTCTGGTGCGTTCTGCGTGTCGTTTGCTCTGTGTGCTGTTTGCTCTGCGTGTTGTTTGCTCTGTGTGTTGTCTGCTCTGTGCACTGTGTGTGTGTGCGTGTGTGCGTGTGTCTGTGCGTGTGCGTGTGTCTGCGGGCTGCACTTTCTGTGTCTGAGATGAAATAAAGTTGGCGTTTGAGGTGTTGGGAGTTTGTCTCCAATCTGCCGCACACGTTATGCCTCCATTGACCCTTTCGCAACGGCAGACGAGGCAGGGGCCCCGAGTGGTGCCGAAGGAGCGGGGGGGGTGGGGGGGGGGTGGACGCGGAGGGAGACGGGGGCGTTCTCCGCGGGGCACGGTGTGGGTGGCGGTGATGGTAACCCCTGACCCTAACAGCTTGACACGCACGTTACACGAAACACACACGGACTAGAGCGCGTGGACGCGGGACAGCGCGCGGACTGGAGCGTGCTGCATAGGATAGCGCACACGCTGTAGCGTGTTGGACGGGATAACACGGACATCGACGGAGCCCCCCCCCCCGAGCGCCTCCGACACATGGCTCAATCAGGGCAGGAACCGGGGACATTCCGGTGAGATCACCAGCGAATCTGCTGCCGCCCTGTGGACACGCACACGTACTGCAGGCGCCCTCCCCCCCCACCACCCACCCCCCCCCCACCCCACCCCCACCCCTTTCATTTTATCTCATCTTCATTTCACTGTTTGCGTTAAAAACTATTGTTACTTTTCCCCCCAGAATGGGTTTGTGTCGCTTATCTCTTTCCCATCAGCTGCGGGTGGGGTGGGGTGGGGTGGGGTGGGGGGGTTTGGCGGAGGGGTGGTTTGGGGATGGGGGGGGTGGAAGAGAAGGGAAGGGAAGGGGGGCTGTGTTCAGGCTGTGTTCGAAGATGCGCTGAGGCTCTGTATCAAATGTACTCGACTCAAAGCGCTCTATAGCGAATTACTGTCAAGTGTAGTGACTATTTTCCAGGGTCGGGGCGGGCGGGGGGGGGGCGGGGGTTAGGATTGGAAAAGAAGAAGCTACAATGGAAGAGTGGAGAAGGAACGAATACAGTTTGTTGGAAAGCCAGGACGAAATGCGTGGCGATTCCTCCCCCCACTCCCCCCTCAGCAAAAAAAAATAAAAATAAAACAAAACAAAACACGCGACGAAAGAATAAAAAAAAGTGCACAGAAGAAGTTTGAGTTGAGAGAGTGAAAATTCCAGAGCGGAAGCACTTCAGCCTCAGGAATCCGCTTCCAATAAACACTGGGCATCGCCTGGTCTGAGCGTCAGCCAAGAAGCGCCACTCCTTCCAACGTATTTATTATTTTACTCGGTTTAAGCATTTTTTTTTTTTTTGCGAAGCGCAATGCAGCGAGGAGTGGTTTGGCGAGACGCCGGGTTTGACAGTAGCAGGTGTCGCAGAAATACCCCCTCCCCCCCCCCCCCACTCCCCCCCCACCACCCCCACTCCCCCCCGCAACCAGCACCACCACGAACCCCGCGCGCCCCGTTCTCCAGCCGCCGTCTCTGCCTATAAGCGCTCCGAGGCTCCACGTAAAGGCAAGTTGTTGTCGCTGAGGTCTTCCGGCGGAACCCGCTGCACTCCTGCCGGCGGACGCTAGCGCTGCCGTTCCTGGGAGCGCTCGGTGGTGTGCGTTGTATTAATTATGATGATCACACATTTATAATTAGAGGTAATGATTGCTATCGCAGTGGGGTGCGCTCGGGAGATCTGGGATTACTGGGAGCAGGCCACGGGGGTGGTGGGGGGTGGCGGCGGCGGGGGAGGTGGTGGTGGTGGTGGGGGGGAGGGAGGAGTGACAGATCCGAGGAAGTAAACGGTCTCGAGCAATAAAAGTCCTCTTTATTTCTCTCCAGAAAACATTCCGTACAAACCAGTACCTTCACCCGCGCGGGAACTGCAGGAACAAGCGACGGCGACGACAACAACAACGTCGTCCACAAGGCTGGGATTTACACAGAGACCTTCACACAGGAGATGGGTGGAGAGTGCGGGAGGTCGGGGGAGGTGACCGTGGGCGCGGCGGAAAGAGGTAAGTTTTCAGGTGGGGTTCAAAGGCGGATCAGTGGGGGGTGGGGGGCGGAGGGACTGAGGCGTAAGGAGTGTCGTGGGCTGAAGTCACGGCGGCTGATTGTGTTGTGGTGGGGGAGGGTGGGGGGTCACACAGTGCAGGGGCTGGGCAGGGCGGGCTTCATGGGGGGGAGCTCCTGCCCCGAGATGGGAGAGCGTGTGACCGAGGCGGGGGGCCGGGCCTGTTTCCTGGGGGCCGTCTGTAGCCGGGAGGCCCGCTCCTCTCTGCCGTCGGCCTTCAGCCCCTCCTCGCCTCCCGCCGGGGTTGGCGTCAGGATAAAGCTGTCGACCCCGGCCCCGGCCAGGCCCCCCAGCAACGGCCCCACCCAGAAAATCTGTGGAGCATCAGATCAGAGGCCATCAACCACGACGACAACGACAACTTGCCCTTACACAGCGCCCTCCACACCGCGCTGGGGGGCGGGGGGGGGGGGGGGTCTCAGGGGGCATCACAACAGCAGCTTCTCAGCCTCTCGTTTAACGTCCAAATAAAAAAAAAATCCTTCATAATAATCCTCGCATTGGAAATCGCGCCTCGTCACATTTGCAAAGGACGTCTCGAAGCGCTTCACAGGACACGATGTGAAGTGGAGTGACTGTGTCCTCTTCAGGCAAACAGTCGCGCACGGCAACGTCCCGCAAACAGCCGCGAAACGATCGACCGATTTTTACTTGGGGATCTTTCACGTCTCCCTGAACGGGCAGACGGGGGCCTCGGCTTAACGTAACGTCTCACCCAAAGGATATAAAACTGATCCTGAGCATAAAACTCTGCCGGACCCCGGAACTCACCCAGTGATCACTGAAGTTTGACGTGACAACAGCTGGGCCGAGAGAACGAGCGGGATTCATGCTGCAGCCGGTGAACCCGATCTGAAAGGAACAGAGAGCGAACCGTCTCGAACAATAATAATAATAATAATAATCCTCGCATTTGATATAGCGCTTTTCACGTCGGGAGGACGTCCCAAAGCGCTTCACAGAACACACTGTAAAGTGAATTGACTGTATATTTGTGGGCGAGGTTGATCGTGATTGATTGTGGGGACGTTGCTGTGCGCAATTGGCTGCCGCCTTTCGCCTACAAAAATACCCGGTCACTCCTCTTTACAGGGAGCGTGGCCTGGGAAGCACTTTGAGACGTCTCAATGACATGATAAAGGTGCTCCACGGATAATTATTATTATACAATATCTATTATTATTATGCCGTATATTATTACTATACAGTTTATTATTATGCCGTATGTATTATTATCGTACAGTATATATTATTATTTTCAATATACATTATTATTATACAGTATATACTATTATTATACAGTATATATTTTCATTATTATACAGTATATACTATTATGATTATACAGTATATATTATTATGATTATACAGTATATATTATTATGATTATACAGTCTATATTATTATTATACAGTCTATATTATCATTATACAGTGTATATTATTATTATTACCGTCAGCAGGTGGCCGAGGGTGACGGAGAGGCCAATGGTGAGGTGGGCTGAGCCTCGGAAAATGTTCCTCTCGTCAGAGACGGCCAAAGCCACCAGCGCCAACTGGAAGGTCGCCACCACCTCGACCCCCAGCCCCTGGGCCCTGGAGACCCCAGGGGAGAGCTGCGGAGCAAGGGGTCGGTGGGGGGGGAAGAGGAGACAGTGTCAGACCCCCAACTCCTCACACACAGACACACACACACACACACACACACACTGCTCAACAATAATGTAGTCACTCAACCAACGTTATCAAGTGCAAGGATTATTATTATTATTATTATTATCCTAATCTCCCCTTGGACACATTCCCCCCCTCTCCCCCACCCCACCCTCTCTCTCCCCACTATCACCACCACAGCCAATTTGAGATGTTTCAGCACTCTCCAGCCTCGCTCTTCCCTCTGCACCTGTGCTGATCCTTATCTTTCTTACCCATTTCTCTCCTGACTTCTCTCCCTCGTTCTCCATCTCTCCCATTCTCCCCTCTCACTCTCTGCCTCTCTCTTTTGCTCTCTTTCCCCCGTCTCTCGTTCTCTCTCTCTCTCTCTCTCGCTCATTCTCTCTCTCTGGCTCTCACTTTCCTCCTGTTCTTTCTCGTAAGAGCCTAAGCATTTGTAGACGAAAGAAAACCAAAGTCCCATCCAATCCACTTTCCACCCTCCAGGCAGTCCCCAAACTATAACACTGATTCCCCCCAGATATTATTATTTTCCCTCGGGGGTTAGTTAGATCCCCCCTTTCTCTTCCCCCCCTCTCTCCCCTCTCTCTTGCCGTCTCTCTCTTGTCCCCCCCACCACCTCTCTCTCTCTCCCCCCCCCTTCTCTCTTGTCCTCCCCACCCCTCTCTATCTCTCTCTCTCTCTCTCGTTCCACCTCTCCGCGCTGCCCCACTCACCGTGTTCAGCCCCAGCTCCCCCCGTGCGCTGGGGGGAGTGACTGCGTACAGCAGTGCGGAGGCGGCAATGGCTCCCAGCGCCTGCGCCAAGCCGTACAGCAGGGCGCGGAGTGGGTGCAGGCGGGAGCGGGCGAGGAGGGCCAGGGTCAGGGCGGGGTTCAGGTGCCCCCCGCTCACCCCCCGTGTGAAGGCCGAGGCGACCGAGACCCCCAGCCCGAAGCCCACCGCCACCCGCAGCGGGTCGGAGCTGGGGACTGTGTCCCAGGGCAGGGCGGACCCCACGCTGGCGAAGACAAAGACCGCCGTGCCCAGGAACTCGGCACTCAGTGCCCGCCACAGCCCCTCACTCGCCCCCTCCCCGCACACACATTCCCTCGCTCTCAGCTTCATCACAGGCTGCGGAGCTGCTCACTGGGCCATCCCGGCCCCAGCTCCAGCTTATAGCTTCACACACCCAGGGGGAGGAGACACCGGCTCTCACATCTCGGCCAGACTCTTCCCCCACCCCCCACACATACACACACACACACACACACACACCGGCCGTGGCTGTCTGCAAACTGGACGGGAGAAACTTCCTCACATTAACACACTCACGCTTATACACGTTCTTACACATATTCACACTCGCACGGACTCACACACACGCACACACACTCACGCACACACACGCACACACACTCACACACACACACGCACACACACACACTCATACGCGCACAGATTCACACAGATTCACACTCACACACATACACACACATGGATTTACATCAACATGTGGTGCATTGTCGGAGACGCTGTCCTTCAGATGAGACGTTAAACCTCCTCTCCCTCCCTCCCTCCCCGGCTGCTGTTCAGGTGGATGTTAAAGATCTCTCGCTGTTTAAAAAGAAAAGTAAATTTCTCTCTCCCTCTCTCCCAATGTCCTGGGCAACAACCCCCACCCCCCCCCCCCCCCCCCACCCAAATAAATTTAGTCCCTCCACTTTAAGGCGCTTTGAGACCTCTTGACAATGTGATAAGGTGCCGTGTCAAATACAAGGATTGTTATTACTGTTATTAACCTACAAATACACAGTCACTCCACTTGACAGCATTTCCCTGTCAAAGGGAAATGTTCCTGTGACGCAGTTGTCCTCCCAGTGCAGTCACATCACCTTTAATTCTCCGGTGTGTGTGTGTGTAGGGGGTGGGGGGGGTAAATCTTAAAGAGGTTTTCTCCCATTAATTAGAAATCCGATCTGCTGCTGGGAGACACGAATCTGTGTGATTAACCCTGGCAAAACTCTGGGACAGGAGATCGCATCTCAGCCCTTTGTGAACTATTGGCAAAGGATTCATCCGGGAGCGTTTAATTCAGATTAAAACCCTGTATTGTTTGTGAAACATGAAACTCCTAATGAAGGCAGAGATCCTCACACATGTCTGCGGAAGCCAAATCTGGAACTGTATTTAAAGAGGAGGTACACGGATACTTGAGGAACGATATTAAGGTGAGTGGGGGGTGGGGGTGGGGGGGTAGTGGGGAGGAGAGAAGAGTCCTGTAGTTTGGTGGCCCCCAGTTGACCAGGCTATTCCCTCACACAGATCATTGGGGGTCCCGTCACACTGTCTCCCCTTCTTGTCCCCCGCGCTAGGAGCCAGCCCACCTTTACACCATGCCCACATCGCTGACAGCTACTGTAACCTTTACATCCATCCACAGTTATTAATCAAACTGCCATAATCCTAGGAATTGTGCGCGTGTGAGGACCCGGGTTCGATTCCCGGACCGGGTGAAGCCTCAGGCAAGTTTCCTTTGTTTCCTCTGTTTACCTGTTTACAACCCCCACCCCCCAAAAAAAAAATGTGGGTGCAACACGGCATCCAATTACCCACAGCCGTGACCCAAAAACAATTGTGGATTGAGTGACCACATTTTTTTTTAAGGGATTACCGGAAATCGATCCGCCAATCGATTAAACAACGGGGTTCCTACTCTCTGCTAAGTAAACAGAGACATGTGGAATAAAGAAATTTGCCCAACATTTGGCTGTAAACTGAGAGAGAGGAGAGAAGACGAGGTTTGAGCACATTCCTGGACCCGACTCATCCGTACCAAGGTCGCTGCCAGAAGTGAGATCTTTCACGATGATAGCTCTGAGGCTCTGCCAACAACACAGAGAGGGCGAAACCAGCTCCAACAATCTGCCAGCGGGTGAGAGAGAGAGAGGACCATCTGACCGCACTGCTAATGAAAAACGTTATCCAACTTAACATCCAATATCAGAGCAAGGCAGGATCACTCGGCAGAGGAGAAGGTATTTTCTGCAGCATTTTCATTAACCAGGTAACTCGCTTTGTGAGAACAATATGCTCTGCCTCAGTCAGTTAATGAAGGAAGGTTGCAACAGAGTGGTGTGTGTCACGGACAGATAGGCGGGAGCTCTATAACAGACTCCCTTGTTCCCACACGCACTCCAGGGAATACAAAGGTACAGCTGTGACCTCCTTCCAACTTACCTTTCTCTTTGGGGAGAGAGTGAGAGAAAGAGAGTGTGTGACAAGCGACTAAAATTACATGTAATAATCCTTGCGTTTGATACCGCGCCTTATCACGTCGGTGAGACATCTCAAAGCGCTTCACAGCATATATTTCTACGTGAATTGACTGTGTATTTGTGCGCGAAAGGCAGCAGCCAATTGCGCACAGCAGCGTCCCACACACAGTCGTAGATTGAGTTACTGAAACAGTATTTTTAAGTGGATAATGAAGCCACGTTTCATCTGTGTCTGTTCAGGTGGACGTTAGAGACCCCATGGCACGATTGGAAAAGAGAAGGGAGATTCTCACCCGATGTTCTGGCTGACAATCCTCCAGACAAATGATTGATCATTCACTTCACAAAATAGCTGTCGCGTTTGCCTCGAGTAAAAAATGACAGTCACTACACTTGCCCGTGTAGTCGCTGTGAAGTGCTTTGCCTTGGATTGCGCGATCGGTTTCGTGGTTTTAAAAGGGAAAGACCAGCAGTGTGATTTGTGTTCAAAGCGCTCGCCTTTAGCGGCAGAACAAAGTCAACGCCGATATAAGCTGTTACACCCCCGGCTCGGGCACTCAACCAAACAGAGTCGGGGCTTTGAGACGTCCTCCTGATGTGAAAGGCGCTGCGTAAGTGCCGATTGTATTGTATAGTTTTACCCAGTCTCGGCGCCCTGTGGGGCGGTCCTGACTCTCGCTGGTGAGGTGGCCATCTTTGCATCAGAGTAACTTCCATTGCATTGAAGGGTTGATGCCGTTCATGAGCTGAGCTGGAACTTACCTGACTCCAGGTAAATTCGGTCACTCATGCCACGACTGTTTGCGGGGCACCGCTGTGCACCGCTGGCTCCCGTGTTTCGCCCACAGGTTGCACGTCACAACGTATTCCGTGAAGGTCTTTGCGACGTCTCGACGACGTGACAAGGCGCCACATCAAAGGCGAGGATTATTATTATCGTGATAAAACTGGACTCGAGGGCTAGGAGTGGAGGTGGAGTTCCGGGCTTTGGGAATTAACGGGTTAAGACAAGTATCCTAATAATAATAATCCTTGCATTTGATATAGAGCCTCATCACGTCTTCGAGACGTCTCAAAGCGCTTCACAGAATATAGCGTAAAGTGAATTGACTGTATATTTCGTGGGTGAAAATCCTGTTAGTTATAGATGTTCCCAGGAGAGGGCGATCACATTCCACAATTATTCCTGCAGTGAGAGTCTGAGATTTCCACTTAACCAGACAATAGCCCCTTGAAAGGCACAGAGACCGGTCACTCTATATTAAACACGAGCAAACACGCGTCGCATGAGGTGCAACATGGCCGACCATGTGGAAAGAACAATTACTTTTAATGCACAGTCACTCCACTTTACAATATAATCCTCGAGGTGCTTTGAGACAGCTCATTGGCGTGATAAGGCGCTATATCAGACGCCAGGATAATTATTATTATTATTCCTTTGGGCTCCGACACAACAACAACAACGACATTACATTTGTGTGGTGCCTTTCACGTCGGGAGGCATCCCAACGCCAGTTGGAAGGCAATAATAATAAGAACATAAGAATTAGGAGCAGGAGTCGGCCATTCGGCCCCTCGAGCCTGTGCCCCGCCATTCACGGCTGATCTTCAGACCCAACTCTAATTACCCCCATATCCTCCAATCCCTCTGTTTTTTAAAAATCTATCAGTCTCAGCCTTGAGGACGTGATGAGGCTCTACATCAAACGCAAGGATTATTATTATCATCATCGTTATTATTATTAGGATACTTGTCTTAACCCATTACATCCCAAAGCCCGGAACTCCACCTCCACTCCCAGCCCTCGGGACCATTTTATCACGATAGATATTCGATAATAATAACAATAATAATCCTTGCATTTGATATCGCGCCTTATCGTGTAGTCGAGACGCCTCAAAGCGCTTCACAGGATATACGGCTAAAGTGGTTTGAACGTGTATTTTTTTTTGTGTGGACGAAATGTGGCCGCCAATTGCACACGGTATCGTCCCCCAAACACCGTCCGGACTGAGTTACCTTTCGCCGTTCAGCCAACATCAAAGTCCTGGCGCTGTCCACAGTGCTGAACACTGTCTTGGGTCTCAAGTGCTGTCCATAGTGCTGAATCCTGAACAGTTTTTTGGGGGCCCGGAGTGTGCGTTGGGTGGGGGGATTGGGGGGGTGGGGGTAACTGCTGGGATCTAACCAGCTAAACCACACAGCTTGCCATTGTCTGACAAACTTTCCCGCTGCTTGTCCAGGCAGGACTACCCACCCCCTTAGGCCCCTTAGGAGCTGAGTGAGAGGGTTCCCTGCTCCCCGTGACTGGTCTGCCCTTCCAGGTCCTGCCGGTGAGCCAGGCCGGGCTGGGATCCGCAGTTCAGCTCCAAGGAAACCCTGCTTAACACCCCCCCTACCAGCCCCCACCCCCCCCCCCCCCCCCCCCCCCCCCCCCGCCTCACCCCCACCCCACCCCAGAACTCAGGCAAATTTCCTTGCTATTAAAACCTGGGTTTAGTTTCTAACAACAGGAGTGACAGTGAGCAGGAAATAACTTGTGTAGCATCTCATCACATCAAAACATCTCAAACCATTTCACAGTAATTACTGCGAAACACAGTGACTGTGTTTTTAAAAGCAATTGTAGAAATCCACTGTGCACACAGCACGATCCCGCGCACACAGCCAACGAATACCTGATTGTACAGAGGGATTGCCAGCCTGGACACCGGGAGAGCGAAACTCAATTAGTGCCGTGGGATCTTTAACATACAGGCACATACGGGACTTGGTCCAATGTCTCGTCCGAGTCACACAGAGGCCTGGGAGTGGGGGGAGATGGAATTCTGATTCTCTGGCACAAA